AGAAAAAAAAAAAAAAAAGAAAAGAAAAATGGCTTCAAAAATAAAAGTTTTTGATTTCCAAACTGTTCCTATTATTTTGACTGCTATATTTATACAAATATTCTAAGTATTATAAACTCTTTTATTCTTTAGTCTGCCATTTTCTCCCCAATTGAGAAAACCTGCTGATTTCAAGACTTGCTCACTACTGAGTGCTAGCACATGTGAGGGGTAACTTAATATATGCTTAAAGACTTTTACTTAATTGACAATCCTCTATTAATGAGCCTCTGTGTATGAAATTCTCACTCAGAAACAAATGAATCAACCTATGTAAGCAGAGACATATACAACATAGCACCCAATTTAAAAACAACAATCTCCCTGGGTTTCGTGTGTCTTTTTACATGTCCTACGAGCAGTGTTTTCTAAACACTAGGCATTTTCAGATTCTCTCCCGTGTCCTAACTTATGGGTCAAGGTCCATTCATTACTTTCTCTATATACATGACAGTATATCTTTTCATCCCTGCTCCCAAAACTGCATTAGAGGCCTACAATCATGGCAATGACTAGACCTCATCACTGCACCATCAAGACCCAAGCAAGCAAGTAGACTCCACTGCTGTAGGGGCAGAGGAGAGTGAAGAGTCACTGTCAACCCAGTTCAGGAAGAATTCGTCAAACGCTGGAGTCCCAGGGGGGTGGTAGCTCCATCTCCTGGGTCCGGTCACTGAGCTGGGCACAAACACTTCCAAACTGAAGGCAGCTTAATTAAGAACAGGAACAATGAGAACGATAAAAACATTGCTAGAAGGACTGCCCTCCCCAGGTCGTGTAAGGAGCCATGGCTACAACTTATAATCGACAGCACCACCTACGCAAAAGACAGTGTCCCAGCGGTCAGTCTTCTTACATGGCCTCCTCATAAACTCGCGAAATGCGAGGTCAAGGGTTAAAAGGGCAAAATTCAAAGAGGTCATACTGGCCTTGTGAGGGAACCTAAGTCTTCAAATTCTGAGAAGGAATTTTCAATTCCCTTTTCTCTGAGTGGCGGCACCAGTGGCTGAAAACCAATCGTTAAGTGACCTCTTAAGGGTCTATGCTCCCTTCCCATTATGGGAGTCCCTAAGCGTCACGGCTGTGGGGACCTGGAAAGAGACGAGCACATTTGAAACCGCATCTCTGTCGATACTGGGCATAGCTACGAGGGTGCCCGTCGAGAAAGTCAAGCCAGTGGGCTACATTTAAGTAGCAAACACTTCCAGATCAACATGAGCTACAAACAATTTTTAAAACGTTAAGTTTGCCTGGCTCCGCTCATGACGCCATTTTCTGCCTGTGACGTCAGCGGGAGGCGCCGTGCGGCAACGTCACGCATAGGTGACGTCGCGGGGCAACCGGGTTTCGGGGCTTCTCACCAGTTCCGGGTCCCCGCAGGGGGGGTCCCGGTTCTCTCCGTTCCCTTGGCTGTGTTGTGGGGGGGCGCGAAGCTCAGCTATTTCTTAAGAGTCGCAGCGGTAAAAGCAGCACTGCAGCCAGAGGTACTCCGCTTCCCGCAAAATGGCGGCAGCTCCCGGGGTCTTCCAGCACCTTCCCCAATCCCAATCTGCGCATGCGCCAGGCCACAGGCGGTGGAACTAATTTTACTGGTTTCGCGGCAACAGTCGAAAGTACAGGTTTTCATTGGCTAACACCCTTAGTAGGGTGGAGCCACACTCAAATGTTTCTTAGCAACTACCTGCCCGTGATTGGCTCGTCTTTCAGGGACTCCGGGTAAGTGCAAGAGTCCTTTGGTAGCTGCCCATCCTTCTCCTATTGGTTGAAAGACTTGCGGAAGGCGGGGGAAACCGAATCGAGGACAAGTGAAGATCCCATCCAGTCGATTAGCGTGTTTGCCGTCTAGGCCAACGCCATGGGCGGAGCTAGCAGGGAGGTAGGTATGCATCCTGGCCGTCTCTATTCTAGTTTGCGGAGGGCGTCACAAAGATCTTACCCGGGAGAGCTATGTGGAGTAGTTACATTTATTTCACGATGAGGATGCAAGACCCCACACGTCCATCCTAAGCGGGTTCTTCACAGCCATGACTCCCTCCTGACCTTAGTGTTTGGGACCCGGAAACGCAGGTCGGGCCCGATTTGTCTTTCACACGCTGCCTTTACCGTCACCCGACCCCATAGGTCTCAACCCCCACAACTGCAAAAGTAAACTTGACCAGTGAAGTACTCTCAGCGCCCAAACCTGAAATAAAGGAAATAATGTCCACCTCTTCACTTTCCAAGAGCTTCCAGGACACCCCCCCCCCAGAGATTCCAATAATGTTGCTGCCAAAAATACGTAGGAGTGGTTCCTAAAAAGTTCATAGAGGGTTGGATCTGCAGTGTAGTGGTAATGCTCTGCTCAAGAGGAACCTTGGTTCACATCCCCTACTGTCATCAGTGTCCAGGATCCAACAGACTGCACTTATTATGGCAAACCAGACCTCTGGAGGATGTCCCTCTCTCTCGTGTGCATGCACATGTGCTCTATCATGAATAAAGGGGAAAAATTTTTAAATTCATGGGAAATGCTGATTGCAAAAAAAGCCCAAAAACTGAGGCCAGCCACAATGGCTTGGTGGTCAGTTACTGGATCACACATGGGCAACTGCATAGTTCAGATCTCAGACTAGCAGCCTGAAAAGCACACTGGGTGCATGTGATATCCAAAATTCTGAAAGAAGGGAGTAATGGAGGAAAAGGGATTGCAGCATGATCATCTGCCTGGAGGTTGCTTTCTCTTTCTCTCTGAGGAAATAATGTCCACCTCTTCACTTTCCAAGAGCTTCCAGGACCCCCCCGCCCAGAGATTCCAATAATGTTGCTGCCAAAAATACGTAGGAGTGGTTCCTAAAAAGTTCATAGAGGGTTGGATCTGCAGTGTAGTGGTAATGCTCTGCTCAAGAGGAACCTTGGTTCACATCCCCTACTGTCATCAGTGTCCAGGATCCAACAGACTGCACTTATTATGGCAAACCAGACCTCTGGAGGATGTCCCTCTCTCTCATGTGCATGCACATGTGCTCTATCATGAATAAAGGGGAAAAATTTTTAAATTCATGGGAAATGCTGATTGCAAAAAAAGCCCAAAAACTGAGGCCAGCCACAATGGCTTGGTGGTCAGTTACTGGATCACACATGGGCAACTGCATAGTTCAGATCTCAGACTAGCAGCCTGAAAAGCACACTGGGTGCATGTGATATCCAAAATTCTGAAAGAAGGGAGTAATGGAGGAAAAGGGATTGCAGCATGATCATCTGCCTGGAGGTTGCTTTCTCTTTCTCTCTGGCTAGTACATGTTCCTCTGGCCAAGGGGAAAAAAAAAAAAGTTTTAAAGCCCAGCTAGTGGTGGTAAAGGCAGGTGGGTCCTACAAGGTCAAATGTGCAAGTTGAGTCCCAGACTCTGTGGCTTGAGAAACAGAGGGAGCATTTGTATGTGTGCATGTGTGCCCCAAATCCTGGCAGCAGAAATGGAGGCAAGGGATTGTGGTTTGACCATCCCCAGTAGAGTGCCTTTTCTTTTGTCTCTTTGCATGCACCCTCAAAGAGCAAGTTTTTTGTTTTTGTACCAAAGTAAACTCATATTTTAATTACACTTTCTATGAACTTTTTAAAAAGAATTAATTTTGTTATTATTTTTTAAATCTTATGAGAGAGAGAAAAGGAAAGTAAGGAAGCAAGCCACCAGGTCCAGGACTCAAACCTTGGCCAGCCATGTAGGAATCCAGCGACATAACCACCACACCACTGCAGGCCTCTCCATAAACTTTTTTTTTTTTTTTTTTGAGAGGTTTTTGCTATAGAGCGTGTGTACTCACCAGAGAGACAGAAAGGGAGAAATCACACCCCAGCAGGGATGGCCACACTGCAATCCCTTCTCCTCCATTCTCCTCTTGGGATCTTGGGCACACACACACATGTACCCGGTGAGTTTAAGCCACCGGGTCTGGGACTCGAACCATGGTTGACTACGTGTGAGTCCAGCAAAATAGCCATTACGGCAATTCCTGGTCCTTCCACAACCTTTTTGAAGTCTGTGTGTGTGTGTGTGTGTGTGTGTGTGCATGTGCGCATATGAGAGCCAGAGTCAGAGTACTTAAATTCCAGATCTGATTAGGATGCTAACATTATGTCATTGTACTAATTTCAGATTTCCCCTGTGAAATGGAAAATAGGACTAAGAATTCACAGAACTTCAAACTCTAACTCTGTGATAGGGTGGGCGTCACCATGCCCTCCCCCCACCCCCTGCTGTGACTTTATTCAAACAAAATAGGTAGCTTCTTCCTGAGATGCCTGTATAGCTACCAGGTTCTCTCCTGAGTGGTAATAAGTGAGCTGGCAATACAGATGCTCTGGAAGGCAGAAGAGAAGCTGCTTCAGTCACAATCCCATCTGCCTCCAAGGCAGCAAACTCTAGGCCTCTTCCCTAGAGAAAAAGCCTAATCTCAAGCCTAATAGACAAGGGTCATTAAACCTGGGCAAAAGACCTGTATCCAGCAGCCCAGGCATCATCACTCATCTTCCTAACTAGAGAATAAAGCAGGCCCATTTGGGTCCTACATAGGATAAGGACACAGATTTGAGTATGCTTGAGTCTTACTGAGGTGTGGGAAAACAGAGGCAGGGGGCAAGCAGGGTAGAGCAGGAAAGCGCCATAATTTTACTTTATTTGTACTTCCTCTTACACAAAACCATCAAAACAAGAACAAGAAAGGGCTGAAAATGTATTCAATCCACATGTTCTCAGGGCTTTTCCAGGAAGCTCTTGAGGATGGGTGCCTGTGGGTGTAGCTTCAGATCCAACACTAATTCCTCATGCCCTGACCTGAGGTCTCCACAGACGTGATGGCATGAGCCCTGCAATTACTTCTTATCCCTTGCCTACTCTGATGTAAGGTAGGAAAGCAGACTGAAATGCTCTTCTCTGACAGGTGAGGGGAATCACAGCCCACAGACGTGCTGCATCTTCTGCTACAGGAACACAGCCTGAAGTTCCTTCCAAGGCTCTTGAGACCACACAGGCTTAGAGACCAATGGTGTACGAGCGGCCTGTGGGGTTGTGAATAGCAGAGCAGACTGGTGCTGTCACGGCCCACTCATACCACACCTTTTTGGAATTGCTGCATCGCCAGAAACGCACACAGATGGTCTGGCCTTCACGCACCGTAATGGGCTGCTGTAAGAAGACAGGGAGGTTCAGGGTAGAGTTAATGAACTGTATGTGGAAATGTATTAAGGTAGGTGTGGATAGAAAATGGTAACGTTTCCTTGAAGTCTATCAGAACACTGAACAATCACGTTAAACAAATAATCAAAATCAAAAGTATGTTAAGTGCTGTGAACATATACAGGGGCTCTGAAAGCACCTCTGAAAGGGAACACTTGGAGCCAGCCAGGTGACATGACAGTTAAGGCAGCTCAACCCCCACATGGTTGACTGTGCAGTTTGAGAACCGGACCCAGCAGATTGAAAATCACATTGAGCGCATGTGTGTGCACCCAAAAACCCAAGAAGAGAAGGGATTGAGGCATGGCAATCCTGGCCATCCTACCACGGGAGTGCTTTCTCACCTTCCCTCTCTCTTTCTCTCTCTGGTGTGCACACACACACCCTATTGTTTTCTCTCCTTTTTAGTTTTTTGCCATAGGGTATGTGCACATACTATATAGAGAGAAAGACAAAAAGAAAGTGAAAAATCACCCCCCCAAGGGAGATAGCCATGTTATAATCACTTTGCTTCTATTCTCCTCCAGGGATTTTGGACACACACACACACACACACAGAGCTTGTTGTCAAGCTGCCAAGTCTAGGACTCAAACGGTGGTCAGCCATGTGGGAATCCAGCACCCTAACCACCACACTACCTGCTGACCCCATGCACACACCATATTAAAAGAATAGTTTTTAATGGGGCTGGCAGGTGGTATAGTGGTTAAGGTGCTAGACTCCCACATGGCTGTTCAAGTCCTCAACCTAGCAGCTTGCTTTCTTACTTTCTCTCTCTCTGGTCAAATAAATAAATAAATACAATGATTGTTTAAAAAAAAAAAAAGGAGAATTGTTATTAATTAAGATTTCATTTTAAGAATTGTTTAAAAAAAAAAAAAGAATTGTTTTAAAAAGAAAAAAAAATGCTAACCTAATCTGGAGGTCAGGGAAAACTTGTCTGACAATAGAAATATTTAGGGAGACCTGGAAAATAAGTTAGGTGGGCAAAGAGATGAGCAAAGAACTTTATAGGCAAAGGAGAGAGGTGTGCCAAAAAGCCCAAGGCAGGAAAGAAAGTGGGGTGTTGGAGGAACTAAAAGTGCACAGGTGAAGCAATGTAAGCAAGGAGACAGTAGGTGGAAGACAGGGAAAACAAGATCATACTAAGCCTTACAAACAATATTCTGGATATTGACCTTTGGCCTAAGGGCAGTGTGAAAGCACTGACGGGTTTGAAGCAAAAGAGAGATGAAGTCAGATTTGAGTTTTAAAAAAGATGACTCTTGCTCAAAGTAGAATGGGCAGAAAAGTAACCAGAGCAGATAAGACGGCCAGGTAGATAATCCCAGCACTACACCTGGGATCCAAGAACATGTGAACACATGGGTCATAGTCGAGGGCCATCCTGGGAGAAGAAAAGGGACAGCATGCTACGGAAAAAGTTACTTCTTAACCTAGTGTCTTAAAGGTGATTCCTACCTTAATAGGGAAGAGGATGGGAAACCATGAGAACATCCCAGGAGAGTGAGTCTCTGGACGGATACCTGTGTGGACAAAATAATGAAAAAATTGAGGTCTCCAGGACTGTGCCTTTGCCTCCGTTGAGAAGGGTCTCTTTTGTGTTCATGGAAATGAGTCATCGAAGATCGCCATTTACTGACTCCCCAAGAATCCAGATGAAACATACACATAAGCTGCACAGGCACCATGCCTCAAACCCTGCCATTCGCTGCCCCAGACTCACTCAGAGTTATGTCCTGATACAGCACAGTCTCAAAGTAGCCTGCAAAGCCATGCAGCACTGTGTTCACCTCCACCGGAAACTCCAACGTGCAGTAGCGGTTGTTGTCAACCATAGGATCTGTCAGGGAAGAATTATGTGCATGAGACGGACCAGAAGCCCGAGACAACTTGGGTAAAGACAAGCAAGACCCACAACGGGGAACCAAGATAGGGCAGACTCAGGACAGAGAAAGAAGAAAGTAGGAGTGAGTTCGCACCCTGCAGTCAGAGGAGAGCCATAGGATCCTACCTCTGTTGGGGTGGCTGAAGGTGAAACAGGGCTGGGGTGCAGACAGCTGGTGGAAGTTGTGCAGCCGTACCACATAAGGCATCTCAAACTGGGCCTGTCCCGAGAGAGAGAAAGAGCAAGAGCTGGGAGACAGACAAAATGCACCTGCTTCCCCAGGAAAAAAAATTCAAGCCTCAGAGATACAAAAATGATAAAAACCTAGTTTCACTGTAATCACTTTCCCTCACCCCCCCAACTTCTTCACATCTTCCTCTTCTCCAGAGTTAGAAAATATTTGGTGCTAATACAGGAAAGGAAGCAGTCTAAAGAGTACCACTTCCTTCCAGAAGACAGTGGCTTTTTACCTCAGGGTCTCGGTCCTTTTCCCGACAGGCTCGGACCTCATTGTACAGCTTGGAGGAGGAGATGGGAGCCAGGAAGGAGGTGTACTCCCCAGGGATGCTCACACCATCATCTACACAGCAAGAGGGCCAAATCAGTTCCCAGGGGACAGAAACAGTCTGTCTGCACGAGCTAAAGGCTCAAACTTCCCACAGAAAAATAGACCAAGGCTGGCGTGGGTAGGGCAAGAAGAGGCAGGCCAGCCTGCTCCTAGCTCCTATCAATGGGGTTTCCACTTCTAGGTTAATTTACAGAGTCACATAAGATTAGAACTGAAGGAATCTAAGATACTCTAACATTTGTGGGGTCACAAAGCCCCAGGAATGTTACTGGTGAAAGCTAAGCTCAAGGAATATATGACATCACAGACCTCATGAAAAGAGGTTAGAGCACTGGAACCCCCCCCCATGTGGCTGACCAATTCGAGTCCTGGACCCAGTGGGTTAAAAGTATGCCAGGCATGTGCACCCAAAATCCTGAGAGGAGAATGAAGGGATTGTGGCGTGGCCATCAACCATGGGGTGGGGTGGGGTGGTGGTTTCTCTTTCTGTATTTTTCTCTTTGTCTCTGGCAAGCACATGTGCTCTATAGCAAAAATCTCTCTTTAAAAAATTATTTTTTTAAAAAGACTCTTTGCTCTAGTCTCCTTTTCCCTACTTTCCCTTCATTTTATAGATATGAACTGGGGTCAAGCAGACGACTTCGTTTGCTCAAGGCAGAGGCAGTGCAGAGCAGCAGCTCTCAAACCTGGATGAGAGTGCCAGCCCACTTTCCCCTAAAGTCTGGAACCTTCTCTGAGGTTGCTACCCCACCCATTATCACCTCCCTGATATGCCCCAACCTGGAGGTACCTTTTAGGAAGTGCTGGGCTCCATCCAGGCACTCAGGTGACAGTTCATTGTCAGCGAAGGAGCCCAGGAGCTCACTGACAATGATGTCTGCTTTCTCTGGAGCCACCCATTCCCGCATGTCTGAAGAAACTACTGTCACCTGGCTTCCCCATTCTTCAAACTGCCAGTTCTCTAGCCTGAAAAAGATGGTACAGGTGGAGGGAGGTTAAGGAAAGTCAACAACAGAGACAACCGTCCCAGTAGGCAGGTCACTACTCACGTCACCACGGCATTTGGGTTCTTCTCCACCGCATACAGCTTTATCCGCCGGTCAGCCTGCTTGGCTGCCCGCAGAGAAGCATTCACCAGGGGACCTCGGCCTGCTCCCAGCACCATTAGTACCCTAAGAAGGGAGAAGAGTCAAAGAGAATTTGGCATATGGAGAAGTAGGGATGCCAGTCCCTGGGCAAAACACTGGACGTTGGTATCCTTCTCCTCTTCTGGAACTCGGTCTAGCAAACATTTGTAGATGGCCTGGGAAAAGGAGAGATCTCCTGGCTATACTCTTATCCTCACCCAGATGTCCCGACCTGTGCTTTCCCCAGCCTGGGCCCCCATTGTACCTGCTGGTACTGAGAATATTTGATGGGGTCCTTTTCAAATACTTCGTATGTCTGAGATTCCAGATTGTCCATCAGTGGCTGACAAATGAGAGGAAAAAGACAAAGTAAGCCACCCAGTTCCTGACAAAAACTTCCCATTACCTCCTGAGCTCGCTAGGATTTGGGGACACTTACTCCTGAGGGATGTTTCCCACCCCTGCCTCCCTCCTCTCAATGTCCTCCAGACCCACCTGGAGCGGGGACTGCAGATAGTCTTCATAGCCCTTGGCAAAAAGTTCGTAGGCATTAGGTGGAGGGCGGTTCTGGCTTAAGTATTCCAAGTACTGGAGATAGGAACAGAACTCCTTCTCTGAATGGTGGTTGGTGCCTGTGATGATGAACTGTACTTCCAACTGCCAGAGATCAGACATCAGATATAGCCCACAGATCAAGACTCTGAGATTTGGGGTCTTATGGCCAAAGAGCCCCACCATAAAATAAGGCCTAGACCAACAGTTCTTCAGTATGTACCCTAATACCAACAAAAACAGCATGAGGCATTAATGAATTTACAAAGCCCTTATTAAATACAAGCATCACCCTGGTTTATGGATCAATGGATCATTGCTGTAACTCCCGAAATGAAACTCACAAAGTTCCCATGACATCTAGTTCTTTTTGAAAAGTTTCTGGGACTCCTACCGACATTGCCTTTTTGCTCTAAAAATACCCAATTTTGTTAAAATTGCTCTCCAGAGACCCGAGAGGAAGAGTCAGCTCCATAGGAAAAACATTTTATTTCCATAATACATATGTAAATAAAAAGTACAGCATGACCACCTTTAGACCCCTCCTACCACCCACCTTGAGGAGCCGGAAGATCAGCCTCTGGTGCATCTTAGAAAGAACAGGAAATCCCTTCTTATTGGTCAGGAAAATGCTGGTGGGGAGAATAGCTGCTTTGATGGGCTCCCCAAGCCAACGATCAATGACATGATTAGATGGGAGGTCAGCACCAATTTCAAGAGCTACAAGAGAAAAGAGAAAGGGACTGTCAACCACTACCAGATAAGAAGCCCTTGTTTCTTTGTGTTTAACTCCTCTTTTTAAAAACAAGGTATGTGGGGCCAGCAGGTGGCATAGTGGTTGAGACACTGGACTCCCACCTGGCCAACGAATCCAGGACCTGGCAGCTTGATTTCTCATTTTCCCTCTCTTTTCAGTCAAATTTAAATAAATAAATAAATGATTTTTAAAAATAAAAACAAGGCATGAAGATAATGCCTTTATGACTTATTTGAAAATTTTGGTAGTTCTTATTTTAAATGTTTTATTTTCCAGATTTAAGCTAACACTTCTCATAAGCTATTATAGCTTACAGCAATCTGAGAAAACATACCTTTGTGAAGAGAATTGAGGCATTTACTTTTTCTCCCTACCTGGTCCCTCCAGAATTCATTTATTACCAGTGAGTATTCTTACTTTTATGGCAATATAGTTATTTGCATAAGTTCAATAAAAATCTGTTTCTCCCTGGGTCAGCCCATGGCATGGTGGTTAAGGCAGCTGGATCCCACAAGAGCATGTGTACGGTTTGAGTCCCAGACCTGGCATCTTGAGAAAGGCACTGAGCACACATCTGTGCATGCCCAAAATCCCAAAAAGAGAAGTGGAGGAGGAGGGATTGCAACGTGGCTGTCCCCCATGGGGAGTGCTTTCTCCCTAACTCTGTGTCTCCAGTCAGCACATGCATACCCTATAGAAATTAAAATTTACTCCTGAAATGCAACTCTAGCAAAGCAAATCTGAAGAGAGCCTATGTTGTCAGTCACTATTTCTGCTGTACTTATATAAGTATATAATCAGGCCAAAGTTAAAAAGACTAAACTTATATTTAAATAGCAAACAAATTAGTTATAGTGATTGGTAGAAATGGGGTTAACTATACAGAGAAAAAATTGTTTCAGAAGAGCACTACAGAGTACCCATTATTAGATTCTAGATGTTTTTTTCTTTTTTTTTTTTTGTAATGGGGCACACATTTACTAGACAGACAAAAAGTGAGAAATCACCTCCCAGCAAGGGTAGGGGGTTGGTTACACTACAATTCCTTCTCTTTTATTCTCCTCTCCGCCAGCATGATTTTCAAGCCACTGGGTCCAGGACTTGAACCATGAAGTTGGCCATGTGGGATCCAGCATCTTAACTACCATGCCACTGGCTGGTGCTCTAGCTCACTGTTTTTAAGGATTTATCATCTACTTGAACTATGGACTAGATCCTGGCTTCTTCCAGTTTTCTCCATTTTCTGGCTATAACTTTCCAAATAATATGTGCATTTTTTTCTCCCACCTATTTGGCTTAGAATCATTAAAATCAGGATTGTCTTTTTTCTTTTTCTTTCTTTCTTTCTTTTTTCATTTTTTTAGAATTATTTTATTTAACCTTATTTATTTAATTTTATCAGAGAGGGACAGAGAGAGAAAGTGAGAAAGCAAACCGCCAGGTCTGGGACTTGAACTACTGTCGGCCAGTGCCCTTAATCAATCGGCCCAAGATTATCTTTGTTCTAAAGCCGTGCAAACTGAAGGTAGATGACCTGATATAGACTTCAAATAAATCAATGCAACAGCCTCTGTATGAATAGACTTCATGCCTGATACTGTACAGATTCCTCAGAAAGTTCCCTGGGACACATGATGCAAACTGCAAACCAGGAAATTATCAGACTGCCACTGCCTGCCCTCACTCTATCTGAAGGTGCTTTAAGCCCAACATCTAGAATTCTCCTCCACTGGCTGCCTCTCAGCTTAAAAACTGAGTTTGTAGTTTGTTCTAACCGTTAGCTTTTGTTGTTCTTTGATTTCCACTGAAATATTTATTTTCTTAAAGAGAGATTTTTTGCTATAGGGCATGTGCTCGCTGGAAAGAAATCATCCACCAAGGGGGATGACCACACCACAATCACTTCTCCTCTATTCTCAGGATCTTAGGCACACACGCACACACATCCAGCATGAGTTTTAAGTTGCCAGGTCCAGGACTTGAACCATGGTCAACTACATGGGAGTCCAGTGACATAACTATTATGCTATCAGCTGGTCCCAAAATACCTATTAATGCCTGAATGCTCACATCATATAGAGGCTTGACCTTGGTGGTGGAAGCCCACCTGAACCACCACCTCTCAATCCACTAACCCAATTTCTTTCTTTCTTTGGAGAGATTTTCGCTATAGGGAGCGTGCACTCGCCAGACAGACAGAAAGAGACATTAGAGACAGAAAGCGAGAAATTACCCCCCGGGGGGATGGTCACGCTGCAATCCCTTCTCTTCCATTCTCCTCTCGGGATCTTGGGCACGTACACACACGCACCCGGTGTGAATCTTAAGCCACCGGGTCCAGGACACGAACGACTATGTGGGAGTCCAGCGACATAGCCATTACGCTAACTGCTGGTTCCTGTCCAACCCAATTTCTTAACTATGATACTACCTGGGGAAGTTTCTAACATGGGAATGTGGGACTCAGAAAATGATAGCCCGGGGACCAGATGACGTAATGTTTACATTGCTGGACTTCCATGTAGTCCACCGCAGTTCAAGTCTGGGACCCAGTGGCTTCAAACTCATGCCGGGCATGAGTGAATGCATGCCTCCAAATCCTGAGAATGGAGGAGAAGGGGTTGTAGTGTGGCCTTTAAGTGCATGTATCCTATAGCAAAAATCCTCTCAAAAAAAGATAACCCAGGGACCAGCAGTTAGCGTAATGGCTATGTCGCTGGACTCCCACGTAGTCAACCGTGGTTTGAGTCCTGGACCGGTGACTTAAACTCATGCCGGGCGTGTGTGCATGCATGCCCAAGATCCCGAGAGGAGAATGGAGGAGAAGGGATTGCGGCGTGGCCATCCCCCCTGGGGGGGTGATTTCTCGCTTTCTATCTCTCTGCCTCTCTCTGTCTTTCTTGCGAGCGCACGCGCCCTATAGCAAAAACCTCTCCAAAAAAAAAAAAAAAAGATAACACCTTGGCATGCTGAATACTGCCAACTAAATAAAGAAGGAAAGGTCTCAGAAGCAAAATCTCTCTAATCTTCTTCACTCTCTGTCTCCTTTCCTTTTTATACCCTCAAGTAAGTCATAGAAACCAGAATTCCTTTTCCCCAAGGCAGGTCAAAGAAACTCCTCTTTCTCAAAGTAAGCCATAAAACCTAAAAGGTCACTTTCTCCCTTGAAGACCTTCATTCCAAAGGGATCCCACCCCATCTCTATCTGTGGTGAGAAAGAGGAACGCTATACAGGGAAGCCAAGAAGAATCTGAACAGAGACCTTACTGGGTTCCACCACCCCCAGTCCATGACGATTAGACCCTACCCTTTATCCAATCACATTTCTACACAGCTACATCTCTTCACTAAACCTAAGTATAAAAATAGAGTGTTTCCTGGGTCTCAGGTATTCCTTCTGTTCCTGTGTCATATAAAATTTGGTGAAATAGATTAGTTATGCATTTTTTTAAAAGGGAGAGGAGCAAGAGACACAGGGCAAGTAACGGATTGTACAGTATACACAAGACTCCTGATTTTTAAGGGAAGTGAGAGAAGGGATACCTGTCCCAGGACCCTCATGGACTTACCCACCGCAATCCTCTTACTATAGTCACACAAAGTCCGGAAGTTGTGCCACCTGTTCGGAGTCAAAACAGAAAAATACAGCCTAATACATATGGCCCACCAATCACCGTAGCTAAAGGAGACCTCCCTAAGGGTTCTGCCCTGTGCTTCCCGTCACCCTACCCTCTGCCCTGGTATAGCAGCAAAGGGAGACCTACCACATCCAAGTCTTCTCCTCCCCACTGTACTCCTCCGTGTGTGTAGCTGGTGCATTCTCAATGATATCATCTCTCAGGTCCTCTGGTGCCACCAAGGGTACCCGCATCCAGAACTGTACACGAACATATATGCTTTTAAAACTCTACTTGAACTCATCGGGTCCAGAAAGCTTCCCCCAGTTAAAAAGATCTTAATCCATACCTCAAGTTAATCACTTTATATGCTCTTCCCTAATTTGTAACTGTATGTCCACATCTCATATACATATATGTATATTTCCTTGTGTAATAAATATCTATCTTTTTTACTTCAGCTATTAAGTTTCTGGAAAAATACATATTCTATGTTTGAAACTCTCTCCATACCACTTTCTGATGGGGGTGGGCAATACTGATATTTCTGTTTTGCCAAATGCACCCTTCACTGAATGGCTGGGCACAAGAAGGTACTTAGCACAGACTGACCACCATGACATACAAAAGGAAGGGCACACCCCTGCCGTACCATGGAGGAGTGATGGCCAGTGTGGATGTGGTTGGTCAGAACTCTAGCCAGGTTTGTGTTATCTTCCTGATTAAGGGGTAGCAAGAAAGCTGGAAGCCCCAGATATGCCCCAAAATTCAATTCCTGTAACATGGCCTGGAATGAGATCAAGAGGAAAATGTTAAGAGTTAACAACCAAATAGCTTTAATTGCATTATCAGTTGATTTACCAAATTATGAGGGGGTGGGGGACTATTCTCTGTACCCATTTTGGCTAGGAACTAAGAGACAAAGGGTGAAGCAGTCTTACCGCCTCAGAGTTCCTGCGGATCTTCTCCACTTTTGAGTCCGGCCGAATCCATGGAGAAAGCTTTCCCACAATTAGCGTATTCCAGTCTGCACTCCCCCACCCAAGAAAAACAAAGACTGAATGAGGTCCAGCACTTTACTTGTTCAATTTCTAGTTCTTAGCAGGGAATAGAAAGTAGAGATAAGAGACACAGACTTTTTCTACCATAGGTATGGGATAGATAGCCTGATGCAGAATAGAGAACTAAGGCTTTTAAGCAAGTAAGCAAGAAGAAAACAAGAGTTATCTATATCCCAGGGACTAATCAATATATCCAAGTCAGAAAAGGAGAATGAGGACCCTGATAAAGCAGAAGTTGTTACTGCCTCTAGTAATTAAGGGGCATATGGGATGGTCCCTACCCCTTCCTGACAGCAGTAGGTCTGATCGTGTCTGGGGGCCGGGCCGATTCTTAGCAGGTTCCTGAGTGAACTCCCTCTTGAAACGCGGGTGGAAGACAGGCATGCAGAGGAAATCAAACCTATAACCGCGACAGACCCAGAACCATCATGTAAAGAGAGCAGCAGTGCCCAGAGATCCAAGCAACTGGATTTAGGCTATCTTGATTTTGCACAGCCCTTTGAGCTGCCATTTGTCACCCCACTGGGCTGTTGAGTTCAGTCTTCTTAGGGCATATTCCCCTGCACTGTACTTCAATTTTCTCCCCAAAACACAGCCATAGAAAAGATGAGTAAGGAGAAAAGATGGAAATCTATGCCAAGTAGAATTCTTTCTACTCTGGTGTCACCGGTTTTCCAGGACGGTCACATCCAGATTTGCCCAATACTGCCCATGCCTACTCCCCTCAAGATTAACCTTTTCCCTATCTTGCTGCCTAACACTTCCTCCCACTGTCAGACAATAATCTCAGCCTTCAGGGTACTGGAATCGATTACGCCCCTTTATCAAATCCCCTGGCTTTTGGGCACAGTAATCACATAACCACCCAATAAGTTCTTTTCTCACGTTCCTGGGACGAGGCTTCTCACCCTAAAGAGGATGGTTTCTCCCGCCCTCATCCTATCCGATCCCCTCACCCCTGCCTCTTACGGGCATCTACCCTGCCCTTCTCCATCTCCGAGTTCGGCCCCCTGGTTGCGGTAGCGGAGGTCCGACCCTCACCCCTGCTTAGCCACAGCTCCCAGCGTGTCAGCGATTTCGGGGACACAATTCAGGTCCCTCCCGCTGGACATGCGGCTCCCACCAGCAGCTCCGACCGCCATCGCCGCCATCTTTTCCCTCGCGTTGTCCACGCCGAGATTCCTTGATACTAACAGCCAATCACAAAGCCGAAAAAGGCCTCCAGAAGGCGGGACAAGTCGCCTTAACAACCGGAGCGTCTTTCACGGTTCCTGAGCTGGAGGCGGAGAGGTGGGGAGTGGTTCTTCCCGCCAATCCGCGGGCTGCAGAGTGACGCACGGCGTGGCTCCCGAGGCCACCAATCTCAGGGGCTGACTGGTGACGAACTTCAATTTCCCAGAATGCTTCGTGTGCCTGCAGAATTCCGTTGAGAGACTACACGCCCCAGGAAACCCTGCAGTACAAGCTTGAAGTACTACCGCTGAGGTCGCCACCGTTGTCTCAGGGCCAGTGGCGCAATGGATAACGCGTCTGACTACGGATCAGAAGATTCCAGGTTCGACTCCTGGCTGGCTCGAGGAGACAAGTCCTTTTTTTCTTATTGCGTTTTTAATATAGAGCCGTTAATCAGTACATTTCAGTCTACCCTTTCTTTGCGTACTTTTGGTTCAAATTTCCTAACTGTTCATCTTCAGGTCCCCGTCACCACTTTCAAAGGTGTTTCTTGTGTCATTACTCAGGTCCTTGTGAACAATGAAGAAAACTGGGCTAATGTCTGTTAAAATACATTTTGCCTCTTATTATACCTTTAAGTAGCTATGATAATTCAGTCACTTAATTCCTAGTGTTTCTATTTCAAACACAAATGTGTAAATAAACATCTCAACCCACGCACTGCGCACACCTACCTCAAGCGAGAGAAAAGGACTATGGCGAGGGCGTACAGTGGACAGGAGTTAGGGAACTGGCTGGAGGCCCCATGACCCCTTTCCCAAGTCAACCGCTGCTACATTCGGGAAAGAAGGAAGGGCGCCGGAACAAACCTGAGAACACCTGCAGGCAGGGAGCCCACAGGTGTTGAGGGCCCGGCGTGGGGATGGAAAGAACACAGTCCATGAGGCTTTAGGCAGGAGGCGTTGGCAGAACTGAGGGGCCGACTGGCAGCGAGCCTTGAGAAGTCAGGGGTGATGCCGAGTTCTGCCCGTGCTGCGAGCGAGAGCAGAAACCAGAGGAGCGGGTTTGGGGAGAATCCGAGTTTGGGTCTGCACATGCTAAATTGGGCGTCTAGGGGGCGCTGTGTAATAGAGAGTTGGCTGACCAGTGACCTGAAGGGGACAGAGCTTGGAAGTTGCCAGAAGAAAGGTAGTGACTCAAGCCTTGGGAGTAAGATCACCCCAGCCCGTGGGCCATCGAGTCCTGGGAAACTCGGGGAGAGTGTGGATAGGAGAAGCTCTGAGGAGCCTTGGGTGCAATGTAAGTGGCCAAAGAATGGAAGTCAGAAAACCCAAGAACCCATGGAGATGCTTTTCCTGTTATTAGTGTTGTTACCACCAGACCTCTCTGGTCAAGGATCCCCTACAAGATACCTGCATGTCGTCATGATCCCCTAGGCCTCTCAGCTGTGACAGTTTCTCAGATGATCCTTCTTTTTGATGACTTCCATAGTGTCATTGGGTCTTTTTTTAAGAATGATTTTATTTTATTCTTTTTTTTTCTTCTTAATTTGACCAGAAAGAGAAAGAGGGGAACCAGCAGTTAGCTTAATGGCTATGTCGCTGGACTCCCACGTAGTCGACCCTCTTGAAACGCGGGTGGAAGACAGGCATGCAGAGGAAATCAAACCTATAACCGCGACAGACCCAGAACCATCATGTAAAGAGAGCAGCAGTGCCCAGAGATCCAAGCAACTGGATTTAGGCTATCTTGATTTTGCACAGCCCTTTGAGCTGCCATTTGTCACCCCACTGGGCTGTTGAGTTCAGTCTTCTTAGGGCATATTCCCCTGCACTGTACTTCAATTTTCTCCCCAAAACACAGCCATAGAAAAGATGAGTAAGGAGAAAAGATGGAAATCTATGCCAAGTAGAATTCTTTCTACTCTGGTGTCACCGGTTTTCCAGGACGGTCACATCCAGATTTGCCCAATACTGCCCATGCCTACTCCCCTCAAGATTAACCTTTTCCCTATCTTGCTGCCTAACACTTCCTCCCACTGTCAGACAATAATCTCAGCCTTCAGGGTACTGGAATCGATTACGCCCCTTTATCAAATCCCCTGGCTTTTGGGCACAGTAATCACATAACCACCCAATAAGTTCTTTTCTCACGTTCCTGGGACGAGGCTTCTCACCCTAAAGAGGATGGTTTCTCCCGCCCTCATCCTATCCGATCCCCTCACCCCTGCCTCTTACGGGCATCTACCCTGCCCTTCTCCATCTCCGAGTTCGGCCCCCTGGTTGCGGTAGCGGAGGTCCGACCCTCACCCCTGCTTAGCCACAGCTCCCAGCGTGTCAGCGATTTCGGGGACACAATTCAGGTCCCTCCCGCTGGACACGCGGCTCCCACCAGCAGCTCCGACCGCCATCGCCGCCATCTTTTCCCTCGCGTTGTCCACGCCGAGATTCCTTGATACTAACAGCCAATCACAAAGCCGAAAAAGGCCTCCAGAAGGCGGGACAAGTCGCCTTAACAACCGGAGCGTCTTTCACGGTTCCTGAGCTGGAGGCGGAGAGGTGGGGAGTGGTTCTTCCCGCCAATCCGCGGGCTGCAGAGTGACGCACGGCGTGGCTCCCGAGGCCACCAATCTCAGGGGCTGACTGGTGACGAACTTCAATTTCCCAGAATGCTTCGTGTGCCTGCAGAATTCCGTTGAGAGACTACACACCCCAGGAAACCCTGCAGTACAAGCTTGAAGTACTACCGCTGAGGTCGCCACCGTTGTCTCAGGGCCAGTGGCGCAATGGATAACGCGTCTGACTACGGATCAGAAGATTCCAGGTTCGACTCCTGGCTGGCTCGAGGAGGCAAGTCCTTTTTTTTTCTTATTACGTTTTTAATATAGAGCCGTTAATCAGTACATTTCAGTCTACCCTTTCTTTGCGTACTTTTGGTTCAAATTTCCTAACTGTTCATCTTCAGGTCCCCGTCACCACTTTCAAAGGTGTTTCTTGTGTCATTACTCAGGTCCTTGTGAACAATGAAGAAAACTGGGCTAATGTCTGTTAAAATACATTTTGCCTCTTATTATACCTTTAAGTAGCTATGATAATTCAGTCACTTAATTCCTAGTGTTTCTATTTCAAACACAAATGTGTAAATAAACATCTCAACCCACGCACTGCGCACACCTACCTCAAGCGAGAGAAAAGGACTATGGCGAGGGCGTACAGTGGACAGGAGTTAGGGAACTGGCTGGAGGCCCCATGACCCCTTTCCCAAGTCAACCGCTGCTACATTCGGGAAAGAAGGAAGGGCGCCGGAACAAACCTGAGAACACCTGCAGGCAGGGAGCCCACAGGTGTTGAGGGCCCGGCGTGGGGATGGAAAGAACACAGTCCATGAGGCTTTAGGCAGGAGGCGTTGGCAGAACTGAGGGGCCGACTGGCAGCGAGCCTTGAGAAGTCAGGGGTGATGCCGAGTTCTGCCCGTGCTGCGAGCGAGAGCAGAAACCAGAGGAGCGGGTTTGGGGAGAATCCGAGTTTGGGTCTGCACATGCTAAATTGGGCGTCTAGGGGGCGCTGTGTAATAGAGAGTTGGCTGACCAGTGACCTGAAGGGGACAGAGCTTGGAAGTTGCCAGAAGAAAGGTAGTGACTCAAGCCTTGGGAGTAAGATCACCCCAGCCCGTGGGCCATCGAGTCCTGGGAAACTCGGGGAGAGTGTGGATAGGAGAAGCTCTGAGGAGCCTTGGGTGCAATGTAAGTGGCCAAAGAATGGAAGTCAGAAAACCCAAGAACCCATGGAGATGCTTTTCCTGTTATTAGTGTTGTTACCACCAGACCTCTCTGGTCAAGGATCCCCTACAAGATACCTGCATGTCGTCATGATCCCCTAGGCCTCTCAGCTGTGACAGTTTCTCAGATGATCCTTCTTTTTGATGACTTCCATAGTGTCATTGGGTCTTTTTTTAAGAATGATTTTATTTTATTCTTTTTTTTTCTTCTTAATTTGACCAGAAAGAGAAAGAGGGGAACCAGCAGTTAGCTTAATGGCTATGTCGCTGGACTCCCACGTAGTCGACAGCGGTTCGCGTCCCAGACCTGGTGGCTTAAAACTCATGCCGGGTGTGTGTGTGTGCGTGCCCAAGATCCTAAGAGGAGAATGGAGGAGAAGGGATTGCGGCGTGGCCATCCCCCCTGGGGGGTGATTTCTCGCTTTCTTTCAGATCATATCCTTTCTCTTTTGTCTATTTTTTTTTGAGAGATTTTCACTATAGGGCGCGTGCGCTCACCAGACAGACAGAGAGAGACAGAGAGACAGAAAGCGAGAAATCACCCCCCAGGGAGGATGGTCACGCCGCAAT